CTGGCCCCCATAACTTGATTTTTATACCGTTTTGCGCTAGTTGTTGATTTCGTGATTTATGTCACGGTGGTTTTGGCCTGTGTTTTGGATTTCTGATAAGGCAGCAGAGGGAAAGTTAATCGAGCAGTATGAACCAGGGGAAATATTGAAATATCAATGAAAGGTACCTCAATAAATTTGAATTCCATAATTACCAAGCTTTCATTTCATTAAAACCGCAGGTATTTGTTTGAGTAATTGGAAAGCATATATTAAACATATAACATGTATACATTTAGGGAACCTTAAGCTAAACGCTTCCCAATCTGAATTTCACCGACAGAGAAAACTTTTCCCCTTACAAGCACGTTGTTTATGCAATTTTCTTACACATTTTGCACTACCTAAGTCCACAGCTTCCGCCCTTTTCTTCCCTTAGTCGAACTGAATTGTAATATCCATTTACGAGGGGAGCTGGCAAAGTTTTCCAATACCATTTGCCATAATTCTGCTTCGCACATTGACACCTAACCGAAAGGCGTTCAATAAGAGCCAGAAGACAAGGCATGGCCGAGAATGGAAAAAGTGGAAGGAGCTCTAAAAAATTGTGAAAAGCACTCGAAATCTTGGACAACACTTTTTCGATTTGGACATGGACACTTAACTGACAATGTCTGACCTTTTCACCAGCAAAAGTCGACGAAAAGTAAAAGCAAAATTTAAGCAAAATTTCGTACAAAGACATAACAAAATTTTTGATGTATGTACAAATGCGGGGAAACAGTCGTAAAGGGGAGGGAAAACTCTTTCTGGGGGGTTGGAAAATGCTTACGTGCTGCTCAAGTTTTGTGTGAAGGTCGCCGAGAGGTTGGGTACGAAAAAAGCAAAGAGGAGTTGGACAAGCCAAGTCAGCTCATAGTTGCATACGTAGGGAAAAGCCTGGAAAAGAGGGAAAACTGTGCGAGGAAAGGGCATTGAAGTTGAAGATGTAGATGGAGACGGCGCCTTTGTGTCACAAGTTGCCATCACATATATTCCGACTCCAGTAGAAGAGTTCCCCAGTCAAACTTAAAACTGTCGGAAGTTTCACTATCTCTTTCTGGCGTTCTATGCCCATCTCTCTCTCCAATTCTCTGCCCGTCTCTATCTATCCGAAAACGCAGGACGCGGTTAAATATTGATTCTACTTTCTGGCCAACCACTTGGCGATTAAAAGTGCATTTAAAGCTGGAAAGCGGATGTTCAAAGTCTTGAACTGTAGGTCTTAACGCTTTGCTTCTGCGAAGTCGAATTATAAATGAACCCCAGCTGATAGTTCCTCAGATTCCGCTTAAAATCATTCTATAAACGTTTTCTATTAAGAAATTTTTCAAAAATAGAGCTTAAATTTGGTTAAGGCGTGATGAGGTACAGGTCCAAAAGGGTTAAGCTGGACCTAATCACCTCCACCTGCCACCACCAATTTCATCGAAAAGCCCCGAGGACAAGCAAACAACAGCTGCCTGCAAGTATGCTACAATAAAGTGCACTGCAGGGCGTACAGTGAAGCCTACTGCAGAGGTACTATCCTAGGGGTCTACCCACAAAATGCCCTTGAGCCACGTTGCACTGTTTTCAGCAAGGATATTTCAAGGGAAGATGTGGGGGCCTTGTGTGTGCCGTTTGTTGCGTGTTTACGCAACGTAACCAAAGTCAAAACCTCGATTAGGATTCAATCTGCTGCTGCGGGCGGCACTGGCTACGTTGTATGTCCTTGTTGTTGTTACCCCTGACCCCAGCACCCCATCTGCTGGGTATACATGCACTTCTGCTGCCCTTTACCCAACTGACCCCACGCAGGTCAGGCAACAAAGTCAAACCGATTAAAACACACGCACGGGCTTAGACGCAGACAAGTCAGGATGCTCTTGGTGGTCTTTGGACCTAGGGATACCTTTATCACATAACAAACAGGAATCACCAGTACGCCTCATCATACCCGCTGCGTACAGGGTACAACCAGAGCACGGACAGGGTCCCACTACAGCTGTCTGTCCGTGTCCGTGTCCGTGTCCGTGTCCGCATAGGTAGTCCTATCGTAGTCCACTCCGGCATGGAACAGTGGGGCTCTGGAGCTCCGGAGCGGTATTCTTCAAGGGGCAATTAACTGTTAAGCTGCCAAACAGCGCCAGCAAAAAAGCGCAAAATCAAGCGAAAAAACTAGTTGTCTCGCTGGATGGAGAGCGGTATCCGAGGGATGCATGAGGGACTTGCATAGATTAGATTTCAGCTGGAACAAGCTGCCACCCTGCCACGCCCCCCGCCCACCACTCCGGGCGGGAAGAGGGGAGGAGAAGGCCGATCCGATGGCCGTGCAGTAGCAAAATATTTGCAGCTGCCACAAAAGCGGGGACCGCACAGTGGTGGCCATAAAAGAGCCATTAACGCCAGGAGTTCGGACCAGCCACCCAGCCACCCAGCCACTCCCCCCGCCCACCTCGCACAGCCTTGGGGATAATTTAAAGCGCTTAAATTCGGGGCGGTGGAAGTGCTTGAGTGGAAACTGTCAGCAGCACCAGCGCATCCAATTGCCAATTAGCCAAGGTGCAAGAAATTAAATTAAAAACCGCGGAAACAGCAAAATCATTAAAAGCAAGGAGAAACATTGGAAAAAAGACTATACTAGGGGGGGGGAGGGGGTGTCCTCACATTGTAGATAAAATATATCTGTGGAAAAGTGGTTTCTTTAACAAAAAGAGGATACGAAAGCAAAGAAAGAGTCACCAGCAAACACGAAACCAATTTGAAGTAAAGATAACCCCAAAAGGCATAAGGAAATACACTCACCCTAAAAAATTTTGTTTTTATATTAACTGCATACTTTCAAATAATGAATAAACTGTATTGTATCAATTATTAGTTATTACACATCTTAGCTTCATTTTACTTACAAGTATAATGAATACGCGAAAGCTCTCAAAAAGGGTATACAAACATTAGAACAAGATCCTTAGACAGGACGAAGGACACTCATCAAGGAGCAAGGACAGGACCACGCCCAACTGTCTCCGCCGTCTAGAGTAAATTAATTTGTCGAGTGTCCTTTGCAGCAGAGATCCTTGAGGCGAAGGCCACCTTGAGGTGCATCAATGAGTTGGAAATGTGGAAAACGTTTTCCCATTTTCCCCCTTCTAGCCGATCCACCACCTCTTTTTGCACAAACAAATCTTTCAGCGGAAATCTCAATCTGCGCTCGAGCAAATTGTTGTTTAAATAAAAATTTAAAGCAAATTGCTACGCGGAAGTAAATCGTTTTGTGGTAATGGTGGATAAAAAATGTAAGCCACAGCATATCAAATTACCCCTCGGATGGAAAAGGAGCTGTGCCCAGATGACAAAGTGCGCGGTTTTCCGAGCAGGGGTGTAACAAGGTGTAGCTGGAAGTAAGTCAGCTCCTTGATAAGTGGCACTTGGATTGGGATGCCCGGACTTCAAGGGGGTGGATTCAGTCCGGGATGCGGTTGACAGTCGGGAGTCGGGCGCGTTTTGATGCGATGCTGAAAAATTGTTGCTAATTTTTTAACAGTCGACGGAGACGGAGACGGAGTTCCGCAGATTTGACTTCAGAGTATCGCATTTCAGGAAGCTCGCTGTTGAGTGCAAATGGTTGGCATTTTAATTTTATTAGAACAGAAGCAACAAGCGGAGGATGAAAGCCAATCCCTTTAAGGATTTTGGCTTGTAGATCTATCTCTGAGATAAGATGCCAAAAATCCATTAGAAGTTAAGGAGATATGAAGCTGTATGCCATGCTTATATGACATAAATAAATAAGTTTTAAATGAGTTTACGTACTCGTTATAGGAATTGCATAGCTAAAAGTCAGACCTATAAACAAGTTCCAATCAACTCGCGATGCCCAAAATCATATGCAGAAATTCCCCGGATGTAACAAATGCACCTTTCACCACAGAAACACAAGCTCATTGTCTTTTGTTGAGCTCCCCAACCTATTTCCCAATGCAATTTAAGCAGCCGCAGAAAAATGTTGCCAACATATTTTGCACAATGTTTTCCTACGCACACAGGGCCAAAAAGGGCAGACGAACGACTTGAGGGATTTTGCTGAAATGACATTTGGCTCCGCATGTGACAGGATGTGCAGGAGCAGGACCTGGTGGAGCAGATGGGAGCAGCCGTTGGCATTGAAAAAAGCAATTTAAGCCAAGTACGGAGTGCAAGAGAGTGGTACAACCTACCATCGCATTATAGGTAGGTGCGAGTTACTATAGTGAGGTATAGAAGCACTTTTACTGCCTATGTGCAATTTAAAGTGGAATTACTTACTAGTCATACTTTTTACTATTTAACAGAGGTACTTCTTCAATGAGGTAGTACGGGGTACAGTACGGTACCTAAGCATAATAAAGTACCTGTGCCATCGCTCTTGGCCAGAAAACACACAAATAAATGAAAGCAGGAAGCTACGCATGCCGATTGTAGTCACTTTCCTGCTCCTCCAGCACACATCACTCATCCGCAGGGTGTGCGCAAATTTTGATAAATTGCCGACGTTACCTTTTGGGGGGAGGAACCTGCATACATGTGTAGTCTAGCAGATGAAAGGACTCAATTCGGGAAGGTGAAATCAAGACAAATGCATTGCACTCCGCAAGGAGAAAGTGCACGCCATCAATCTTAATTGAAATCCAAGTCGGCAAGGCATTGGATTTGGAAAACTTCCTCTTTGAGGGCCGAGCAAACAGGATGCGAGCAAACAATAAATCCGGAAAATTATTAGCAGCGCCAATCGAAATCGAAGTGCAAACTTGCACAGAACTCTTGAGGGGAATGGCTGGGTGACTTGGAACAAAAAAGGAGCAGGACCTTCAGCCAGGCGTGATAAATGGCAGCCAGCACCACAGGGAAGTTCTACTGAAAGAGGTGGAGAGAATAGTAATAGCTAATAGTATTTAATTGCCCACTTAATGGTGCATTGAGCTGATGACCAATGCGGGACCAGTCAAGAAGACTCATTCTGAAGGCGTAATATATTAAATGGCGATTTAATCAGAATCGGTGCAAAGGGCACAAAATATTCTAAAGCATTAATTGATAAGAGCACTGTCTGAGCTGTGGACTGATAATTTCATATTTTCGTTAATTGTTTTTCTTATTAAAAGGTATAGGAATATATGTAGAGCACATATTCATGGTCGTATAGTCTGCTTGATCCAGCTTTCGAAGTAAATAACATTTGTGTAGATATGAAGTATGTTGGGTCTGCAAGCCGAACCAAAGGTAACTATGCCCCCAAGAACCCAAATGCCCTCTTGGAATGCCATCAGTGGTCCTCCGAGGCTCCAAAGGCAGCCGTAGACCTCCTTCGGACTATTGGCGCACAAATGGGATTCGTGCAGTGTAGGGAGGATTTCGCAACGACAGCTGTCCAAATCCACGCCGGTGGCTTCAAATTTCAGCTGGACGGGGTTATGAATCTGAGTCTGGTTCGCTCCCCATGCTGCCCCGGTAAACTCCTGGTGGGATTTCCAATGTTGCACACCCACAGTCGAGGGCAAGCAAACAGGTCGAATGTTTGGCGTATAGGCGACCTCCCTCTGCAAGCGGATCAGACCAATGTCATAATCTGAATAGCCGAGTTTGAAGTTTTCATGTATGTGGATCTCCTCGACCTCAACTCGCAGCATTCCATTGCATTCCAAGCTTCCATTGCGGCAATCCTCTGCGGCACTAGTGCCGTGCTCTCCCAATTTCACAGAGACTCTGAGAAGATAATAGTTAATAATAAAACCATAGTAACAGATATAAGGCTGCTTACAGGTTTTCGAAAGATTTCCACAGGCATCGAGCTGCTGTTAGAACATATCGGTGATTGATCAATGATCCCATGCACCAATTTTTCATTATCTCTCCGCTTGATATACGGTACTCTAATTCCACCAACCAGGGGAAACCCGAGAAGATAGTTTTATTGCCCGGAACCGACTGGTCGCCACCACAGATGGACCGATCGGGAAGCAAACTAGAATCTTCGCGAGGGATTTGGTCAGGCGTCCTGTTGTAGTCCTTATCCGTAGTGCAGCAGGCGAAGATGGTCTCGTTGCTCTGGTCTGATTCGCAACGTGAGTTTCGAATAAACTCTATCTCGGACTGTGTAAGATTACTCTTCACCAACACCGAATGCAGGGGCAAGCACAATTTAATGGGCACACACCGTCCTTCTGTCTGGTTAGGATTCCAACAAGTCTTGTCTGCGAGCAACCACAAATATAAAAAGCAATTTCAATATTATTTGCGTGTTTATTCCTCTTTATAAAAAACCCAATGTTCGGAGGAATTTTCACTTTGTGCACTTACATCGTAAAATGGCCTGGTTATAGTTAATCAAAATACACAACAAAACTGCTGCGATCACCTTCATTGCGATTTCGACTGAACTCCGCAAAGTTCGACTACGGTCTGATCGATGAACACGAAAAATTTGACTGAAAGATTTGAGCTTCAGTGGAATTACTTGCTGTTATCATGTCAATAAGTTAAAGATAAGAGGTTCAAATATTTGGGAATTTCAGATTGCTGGAACCATAGATTTGTCATTGAAAATAGATGGTTGGAAGCCAAAGTAAAACAAGAACAAAAGTTTTAATGGCAATTCGATAGAAATTTGAAAAAGTGTGGGCGTGGCAGTCTTTCGCGTTTTGTGGGCGTTAGAGTGCCTATTGCATTATTTAACATCATAACATCATCTAACAAACTTGCGCTGACTGACTTGAGAGTCCGACAGACGGACATGACCAGATTGACTCGGCTATTGATCCTGATTAAGAATATATATACTTTATATGGTCGGAAACGCTTCCTTCTGCCTGTTACATACGATTCAGCGAATCTAGTACAAGTATACCCTTCCACTCCACGAGTATCGGGTATAATTACTAAATGTTGGGGAAAGTAACTAATAAATAAAGATGAGAAGAAAATAAATTTATTAGATAATGAAGATGTAGGGGTGCATCCTAAAATTAAATTGGATTGGGAAGTGATCTGCTAAAGTTTCGACTGCGAGGAGGAAGCACTGTGGGAATAAGGAACATTTGATCCAATTCGTAAATCCAGCGTGTCATCACTGCGGAAGGGAAGCTACTGCAAACAAAGTTCGTACTCATATCGCTTCTAAACTCACCCAACTTTGTGCCAGATATCAGAGGACAGGCGCCATGAAAAGTGCGTGTGTCATAGTCGTAGGACTTTCCATCTAGATTGTGCCAGAACAATGCCGAACCTTTTTGGGTTGGCACAGCCAGGTTTATGTTGGGAAAAGCTGTAGCTCCACCATGATCAACGTTGTTAAGCTGTTAGATTAAAGGGCTTATCAACCAAATGTTAAGCTGTCTCCCGTCACACATACATAAAAGAGAACAGTGGCGATTCGATCGCCCACCGCCTCTAAGTAGGAGGTTTTTGAGTCGAAATAGTCGTAATGCGGCACAAAATGGCCACCAAAGCCGTACTTTAGAAGCTGCATTTGGCTTCCACTGCAAGTACTTAGACCTGTTATGTCTCCGATTCTTCGTCCAATGCGGTTTAAAGTCTCCAGGTCTTCAGGTTCGGTTTCTGGGTCAGGAAGCCACGCACCATCAGCGGATCTACTGGGAGCTACTTCATCAGAGCCCTTTTCCACGCGATATACTTTCGCACGCTCTAGGAAGGGCTCACTCATCAGCTTCAGCTTTTCAATCTCAGGATCACTTAGAACATTGTGATAAAGAACCACATACGGATCCAGAGAAAGTTCCTCCATTCGAAGGGGGACCAATCGCAGGAAGGGCCTAGTAGTGGTATTATAGCGACAGTGAAGCCTCGAGGGCTTGGAGTCACCCGCCTGTCTCCTGCTCACGGATCGGCAAAGATGATTAAAGGATTCTTCGGACTCACAGCACTCCAAGCTAATACTTGGCTTTGGTGTGTTCCTCAGAAAGTGCAGAGCAAGTGCATTACCAGCTTCACCGAGCATGGAATCCCGCATCAGCATGTCACGTGCGATGGATACATTGCCTGCATAAGATTCATCTACAGATTGGAGTTCCCATAGGATATAGGTTGCACCCACCAGTGGCTATAAGAGAGCGAGCAAGTAGCAATGTAACATCCGCCTTGGTGACCCCAATCACCTCATGGTATTTACGTGGCTGTTCCACCAACAAATCCTTGGCTGCACTTAGCCACTTGGATGCTATTTGGTAGCTGCCCGAATTGAAGGACAACGCTGCCATGGTAAGGCAATCACTAGCAGACATCTTACCACTATTGGATAGAAGGATACTATGTTATTGGGCTGGACGGGATTAGTTAAAGGCACTAACCTGTATTGAACTCCATCAATCAATCCTGTGGACACATCCTTCGGTTCCAAATCATATGTGTGTACTATGCGAAACAGGGCTTGATTGGCCTCAATGAGATCGTCTTCCACTGGCAGATCCTCTCGCATTTTCTCGATAAATGCAATTTTCTCTGATTCGGTTTGGAGATATTGAAATGATGTATAAACCGGAAGGAGATCTTACCTTGCCCCACTGGCTGCTTTAAGAGCTTCTCCACCGGTTCCCAATCATCGTGCATCTGACGCATGAGGGATAGTCTGTTTATGGGATTGGACAAGTACTCCTCTTCCCTATTCCTAGCCTTTTCTAAAGGCTGTTTCAGCGCTTCAACTATTCTAAAATATAAAAATGAATAAGCCACAATCTAATGATATATAAATCACCTCTTCAGCTTGATGATTTTATCTTTCAGCTCAGTCGCATAACTATCGAGTACGATAATGAGTTCTCTGTCTTTCTCGATCAGGTCCATCTTCTCCTCCGCTGAGGTGACATAGTTTATGCGATACATGTTGCTATCAGCTATCCAACTTAGACCAAGAAAAATAGAAACTACACACAATATAACAGCGCCCATAATTTCTTGCGATCATTTCATGGAATCTGAAGGCTGTCTAGTCGGCCTAAAAACGCTATTCAGCGCTAGACATTCAATTCGATATGTTCCACGGTTAGTTAGGGTGTGAATAATTTTTAAAGTGCGAATTTCTACCATATACTTCCCTTTGAAAAAAGATATGTGGGTTTTATCTAAAGTTTTATATAATATTAATCATGTTTCAGTGCTTCATCTTCCCCTCACGGTATATGGGTTGAATGAACATCTGATCATACTCGTGTATCCAGGCTGCCATTACTGGAACAAAAATATAGTATTACCCAGCCATGTTGTCAAAATGCCACATCTCACCCCACTTGGAGCCATGGAAGACGGGACAAGCGGCGTGCACAGTTTTGGGGTCCACATCGTGGGTTTCGCCATCTAGATTGTACCAGAAGAGGACTTTTCCCCGTTCCGCAGGTACTTTAACATTTATGCGCGGGAAGACAGTGGCACCTCCATTTGGTGCATCATTAAGCTGAAACAGAAACACATGAATTTCCAAGGACTTGTTCCATAGCAATACGCACATAAAACATAACTGTGGCCATTCGATCGCCGTATCCTTCAGTTTCCGAGTTTGTCTCGTTGAAGAAGTCATGGCGGGCAGCGTAGTGAGCTCCAAACCCGTATTTGATAATATTTATCCGATTTCTCTGGTGGATTTGTAGTCCGGTGATATCCCGCATCCTCTGAGTCAACCGATCCAAAACTGGTTCTCCAGATGAGTTCATATCCTTAAAAGGAAGAAAGGCTCCGAAGACTGAATCACTCTTATCTTCTGTAAACGCTAGTGTGGCCCTTAAACGTGGCTCCGCCAAGGCTATTAACTGATGGATGTCCCCTTCCGGCAGGATGTCATGGTACACCACTATATAGGGCTCCAGGGAGATCTGCTCCATTTTGAGGGGAGCCAAGATCAGGAAGGGCGACGTGGTGCTGTTGTAGCGACAATGGAGTTTTGAAGGCTTTGGGGAGAACGAGGAACGGCACAGTCTTTTGAAGTCTTCACCCAAAGTGGGCGGGCTATCTACTGTCATGTGAGGATAGGCCTCGAATTGGTCCAGCCAGCTAGTCGAGTGCTCTGCGAGATCAGGCTGCTTCACAAGCAACTCGAGGGCTACATCCCTCAGGTCTGAAAAGAAAATAATAATAATAACTGGGTAATACTTTTAATTAGAAATCTTCACCAACCCAATTCCACTAAACAGCGAGCCTGCAGCAGGGCCACATCCTGGCCAGACATTCCCAGCACCTCATACACCCCCGAGTACTCCTCTTGCAGCCGAGTTTTGCTGATACTTATCCACTGCAATGCCTGCTTGAAGTAGCCCCACTTGAAGTACAACTTCGCCACTTCAAAGCAATCCAGAGCTGACAGTGTGGAGCTAACGATTGGCATGACTGATTATATAGTGAGATCCAGGGGAGATATTTATTAACTCACTTGAGCCGAACGTTGTCGATGAGACCGTTGGCCATTTCCCAGGGCATCATTCCGTGCGTTTCGGCTATTCGGAAGATGTAGACGGTGGCTTCCTCGGTCTCCGCCTGCCAGGGCAACTCAGGTAACTTCTTTCTTAGAAAGCCGATTTCCTCTGCAATTAGGTAAATAACTTTGCAGATATGCAGATAAACATATGGGTTTCTTGACTCACCTTCTCCCACTGGTTTCTTCATAAACTCCGCCAGGTACTGCCAATCCTGGTACATGTGTCGAATGAGTGGAAAACTGTGGAGGGGATTGCCCAGGTACTCCTCTTCTCTGCCTTTCGCAGCCTCCAAGGGCTGCCTTAACTCTTGAGCAAGTCTGTTATAAAAAAGTCTGTTATCGCTAGGGGACAAATAATGACATTAAAATTGTATCTAACCTCTTTAGTTTGGAAACCTTCTGGTCAATTTTGTCGGCATAACTCATTAGACTGTCGATTAGCTCGCCGTCCAATTGCATTAAATCCATGTTAGCTGATTCAGCAACTAGGAACTCCTTACGGCTCTCAACCTTCCAAAACATAAGCCATAGTACAAGAAGCACTTTGTCGAACAGCATTATTTAGTTACTGATCTGTTTGACAGGTAAGTGGTGTAATAAGTAGTTGGAGAAGTAGTTAGTCTAAGAATTAACCGTGGATAAATACATAAAGGCATAACAATTCTCATTCAAAAAGTATAGTAGTACACTTTATTCTACGTCTTTGCTTATGATATTAGGCTCATTATTAAAGCTCTTACTCGTCTTTCTTCATGATAAACTTGATCATAACTGAAAGGAAAAATAGCTAGTATGAACTTATGGGTATGTGAGCTATGTGGTCTATCCTACACACCTAACCCAGTGCCCTCGATGATGGGACAAATGGAAGTGGAGTGCTCTTTATTCCCAAAGGTTATCAGCACATTACCCCTCTTGGGTTGAACAAGAACACCTTTTGGCATGGTAAAGGACCCGCCCAAAGTCACATCTTTCAGCTGACATATGGATGAAAAAGTGGAGGATCGGGAGAAACATAGATTAGTAGTACCACTCACGAATATAATTACTTTGGCCTCCACATCCTCGAAATTCAAAAGGTTTAGCTTTGGGAACTGAGACCAGAGAGGAATATAATATATTCAGAAAAGATTTATATTTGTCCACATCCTTACCTTTGTGGAGTTCCTAAACAGCTTAAACGGTTCAAAAGGGGTCAACTGAGAGTGCTCCACTATGTAGAAAGTCTCCCAGGTATGTTCCTCTCCTGCCATGTCCAAAATGCGCTCGTTGATGCGTTTCAGCACAGGACTATATCCATCGGAGATGGAACACCCAGTGATTCCCTGCTTGAGATCGAAGCGAGCATTGGGTGGACACCGTTCGTAGGCGTTCTCCACATGCCTAATTTCCTGTTCGTAGATGCTTCCTGGATACAGGATAGTGAAAGGGTCCTGTTGGAGATCCTCATATTTAATGGGGGCGTAGACTAGGAACGGATGGACCCAGTCATTAAGCTCGCACGTCAGACGACCCTGAATCCGCGGCACTTCGCCTCGACAATATTTATCCAGAACAGTGGGTGTCGGCTCAAGATCTAGTATGGGTTCCATAGGATCCCTCAGGCCGAAGAGCTCCATTTGGCCCGCCTCCTTCATAAGGTGCACGTTCTGGGAATCCAAGCGAAGTGCTGATTCGTAGGCGTCAAAAGCGGACGGTCGATCTGCCAGATAAATTTGTGTGAATAATGGGTATCCTGGAGTAAGCGAACCTCACTCAGTTTATGGAGGGCCCTGCCCAGATCTCGATAAACCTGCCAGCGTGGTGCGCCCAGTAGATCGTACAAATCTCTGCGCCGCGAGATGGTGTAGTTATGGGCAGCCACTTGTAGCCACTTGGCCGCGCCCCGATAGTCCTGATCCTCGTAGAGCTCCAGTCCCAAGTGATAGCAGTCCAATGGAGACAGATGCAAGGAACTGGTGGATATAAGTTTGTAAGAGGTAACTGAGAGTACTGATATACCCTTCCCACCTGTTTCGTTCGTTTTTGGCCACCAGATCAGCAGGTTCGTAGCCGTAGAACTGGGTCAGGCTATGCACTTCCCTGGCCGCGTTCCTGAAGGCTTCCTTATGAGGAAGCTGCGGCAGGAGGCGCTCCAGCTTCTCCACCGCATCGGGTGCCACCGGTTCCTCCATGTACACTTGCCAGCCGACCCAGTCCTGGTGCATATGTCTGATCAATCGGAAGGAATTCAGGGGATTGGAAAGGTACATCTCGGGATTCCTATTGGCCTCTTCTATATCGTCGATGTATTCTTCCAAAGAACTAGACATATTGTAAGTAATCCCCAATTTAGTTCCAGTAGGAAAGGGATTTAAACGCACTTGTTTATGAGGCTGATCTTCTCCTCCATCTTTTCGGCATAGTCACGCAAATTCTGCAGGAGACCGCGCTCTAAATTCAACATTTCCCACACTCGCTTCTCATCTAAAGCTTTTAAACTGGAGCAGCCAAGGATCAGGAGTAGAATCACAGGCCAAAGTGCCACAGCCATTACGAGGTTGTGCATCGGTGTAAACTGATATTAAAGAAGAGGAACACAAAGTCCGATGTGTAATGCATTCGCCTCAGCCAAATATGCGTGACTAAATGGTTGCCTCTTTATAATGCAACAAGTCAAATCCATAAAGTCAAGTGGCACCTTTGGTTCAGCATACGTGCAATTCAAATCAATAATGTTTTGACCTTACAAGCGTTTACCGAAAACAAAACAGTAAGCAGATAATTTTTGTCACAATGCACTTAGCCAGCACACCCACCCACCCAGAGTGGGAATGAGCCGAGTTTTCCACCCAATCAGTGCTGCCAGATGGCAGGTTGGTATCGAACTCTACACATCTCTGGTTTCCAGGTAGTAAACAAACCCACTGTTTTCTGTTTTTGTTTTTACCCGCAGTAGCATAAGCGCAAGGAAAGGCAATCTAGTTATTCACCAGTCCTAACTACTACTTATTTTCAGCACGATGGCGTCGTCGTTATGTCGTGTCTGCACGGCTCGTTTCGAAGATGAAATCCTGAGCAACATTTTTGAAGGAGCACAGGGACTTTCCATCGCCTCCATGATCGCCGAGTGCACCGGCTATGAAGTTGAGAAAGGGGACAGACTTTCAGAGTACATTTGCACTATCTGCCTGAAGGATGCGCAAAACGCCTTTGAGATAAAGCAAATGTACGAGCAGAGCCATCAGTTCTACAGTCGGCTGAAAACTGATTCTCAAAATAGGAAGCGACGCGGGAAGAAGCAGCAGCGCCTGAAAGCAGAGTTGTTCGAGGAGGAACTGGTTTATCTGTCGGACTGCGACGATCAAGTGAAGATCCGAAAGACAAAGAGCGAAATGGAAAATCATGTAGATCTGCCAGTGGATATAGATATAAAGCACAGTAGCTCGGAGAAGCATCAACCCAAGAGCCCCCATGCTTCGAAGCCCTTTGCTCAATTGAAGCTGCCCAAGGACGCCAAGCCCTTCAAGTGCAGTCAATGCCCGAAGATCTTCCTTACAAAAGCCTTCCTTGAGGAGCACCTACGAAACCACCCGGAAGATCGACGGTTCCAGTGTTCCCACTGCACAAAACGCTTCGCAAGGCGGGCCACTCTACTACGGCACCAACTGACGCACACTGGAGAACGACCCTACCACTGTTCCCACTGCTCATCGACCTTCAACCAGACGTCGAGCCTAAATAGACACATGAAAATCCACACAGAACAATTATAATAACGGGTGTCAAAACTGCCAAAAGCTTTGTGTGCATTTCCCTATGTAATAGGTTGTCAAATATAGCTTTTTTGCTCTTTATTCAATGCTTTATAAAAAGTGTTACAGTGATCAATCCGAATCTCAAAAGACAAAAAGGCAACCTTACATTTAACCAACCTGACAACCTTATATTTAAGTAGATATAAGGTAATTATATTTAACGCAAATTTGAATAAAATGAATTCTTACTATCGAGCTGGTCGAGAGGCCATCCCTAATCTCGCAGTCGTCAATCGATAAACGAAGTCATCGATTAATCAGCTGTTCGAATAAATTGCGAGGATTTTGTGCCAGTTTTTGGCTGAGTTTTCGGAAAAGTGCGAATTAAGTAAGGCAGTGTCGTGCAAAAAAGAGTAATTAATTATAAACGATTATAATTAGCTAATATACTTGGCCGTGTGCGGCTGTGTCTGTCTGCATAGAGCCTACTTTGTGCCGCCGGTTAACACTGTTAAAAACAGGATATAGATCTAGGCAAGAAAGAGGCGAAAACTAGGATATAAATCAATAAACGCCGAGTCCATTAAGTTAAATCTTCGAAAAGTCAACATGCTGCTGCAGCGGAACAAGTAAAACTTTAAAGCGGCTATTTTCTCGCTTTTTCTATGATTTCTGTGTGTTCCATGTTTAATTTAATTAGTGTCCCGCTGTTTGCGTGTGTTCCTCCCACCCTTTCATCACATTTTCCCTGTTCTAATCCGTTTTCCCTGTTCTATTCCAGTGCCCGCGAAGATTATAGCCAGGTTTTCAATTACATGTTCTGTTTGTCTAACCAAATTTTATCAATTGCGTGCTGGTGCTAATAAGAGCAAAATCCCCACCTCCTTTTGCTCTTTACTTTTGTACTGGAATTTGAGTTTGCATTTTATTTTTAGCCCGCTTTCGTTGTTGTTATTGCCGTTCTCGTTTCTGTTACTTCATCGCCGTTTGCCTCACCGTCTTTGTTTTGCTCCCTCTTTCCGTGGCAACGCTCTCTCCCTCTCTGTCGCGCTCAATAAGAGTGTGGCACACTGAACAAAATGCACTAGTTCGGTTTTGTTAACAAAGAATTTCATCATTGTTACCTACTGCTATTAGTAGCTTATTTGTAAGATATACGAATATAAATTATTGTATGTAAAAAACACGCACTTCTTCGGTTCAAATCGATTAATATTTTTTTTAGTAATTCTCTCTCTCAGAAAGCTAAGGCTAAACTCTCATTTCTGTTCATTTGTTGTGTTCGACATGTTCCTATGTTCACTTCTCAACGCCCCCTCTGAAATAAAACGTAATGATACGGAAAAAGATAAACTATTAAAACATAATTAAAAACCATAATTGGCCCATAACTGACTAAAAAACATAAATATGCTTGTACTTTGCACAGTTCCTTGCTGGATTCCACTCAAAACGGCAACAGCTGTTCGTCACCACCATTACCTCACTCCAGCGATCTGGCAACGCCACGCAGCCCTCGCTTTTGCGCTCCACTGTGTCCACAGTCATTCGCTTTTATTTATACGAAAAAGAAGTGTAAGAAAGCGCCGTCTGTCTGCCTTTTTTTATTGATTTCATTCCTATTCCGGATCCCAATTCGTGTTAATTGAAAACGTTAATCAGTCGGCCGCGAGTTGTTCTCTTATCAACACTTTTCGCGCGTGTTTTCCTGCGTGAGTGCGAGAACTCTGTACATACACTGCATTTCCATATCCCTAAGAGGTTATAGCAATTCGTGTTTGATAAAAGATAAGATAAAAGTGACAGCTTATCCGTCTAATTACTGATGAGCGATGTTTAGGACCATTTTACTCACACTCACGTGCGCTGCGAGTGAAATTGAGGCCTACTCAGTTTCTACTGTTCTTTGTTCGCCGTGAACTACTGTAAATAACCGCATTTAATTGGTGTGATAAAAGCTCACATGTCGCCAATTGAGTGAGCTGTCTTTTATTTCGCATTTTCTGGTTGCGAGCCAAATCAAGAGCACAAAACAACCACATACAGTGCTGGGCAGATAAGCCAACCCACTCGGAGTGCCACTCAATTGCGCGACTTGTTGCCCTTCGGTCTTCCGAGTGGAAAGTGGTCGCATAACTGTTTGTTTAGAAGAAGGACGAAGGAGAAGGGGTTGGAGCCGCCCATTATGATAAGAAGCCCCAAATCTGTTGATATAATACCTATTCGCCTATTCGATATGCTTATGGAAATTCTGATTGGAGCATGAGGATGCTCCTAAATGACATAAATCCATTGATTAGATTGGGTGTCAATTATCAACATTACTTCTTTGTTAATACAAAACTTTGTTAACAATATCTATAAAATCGGTGAATATTAATTAGCTGTTGTTTATTTATAATTAAAAGTGAAAGTTGAATTTGTAGAATTCATAGTTTCAACCTTTTATTTAGAAAAACAAGCAAGAAGCGTAGAAAAGACTTGATCTGGATTATAAATACTCGTATGTACCTACAACAACCCATCACTCTCTTCGGAAACTCAGGGTCCAAGGTGACCCTGTTCCACGTCATATCACTGATCCTATCTCCTGTCTGCGGCGTCGAAGCTAGTGGACTTCAGCTTAAGGCTGCCCCTGGTCAGTTGATTCAAGTCGATGATGGACAGATATGGTTTGGGGGGCACATTCACGGGCAGGGGAACTTCGATGGTGACCGCTGCTGATCTCTTGCCCTTGGAGCCGCCAACTCCTCCGCCATGGTCGCTGCCCGTTTTCAGGGCTCCCAGTGCGAAGGGGGAGTACTGATCGTGACCGGTGTGTGCGGAGCAACTTGCTGTGGCAGCCCTCCGGTAGTTTCGGTACCCACTGAAACAGCTGCTCCCTGGGGCCAAGGGGCGGACGGGCGAGAATCCTCCCTCGTCCGAGGATCCGCCTCCGCCGCCCGAATCGTAGCATATACTTAGGTTGGTGTAGGCAATGGGGGCGTGGCAGCGAGGCGTCTTTGGACGGGGCTTCACCTCGTAACGGGTTTTCGAGCGGGATCGGGAGTGGTGGGCATGGCGGTTTCGCCCCCGCCTTTTGCTCCTGACCTCGCTCACAATCGGCATGGGCAGGATGTTGATGAAGCGGTAGTACTGCAGCAGAGTCCTGGCCAGATTCCTGCCCACGCGGTAATCTGGAGGAAGTGGTACCTTCTTGTTGGGAACTTGATCAACTCGGCTTGCAAGAATATACTCACAGCCATCTTCGTTGTACAGGGAGATGGTCTTGCCATCCCTGAGGTAGTGACCGGCCATGGAGACCTCCAATGTGTAGGCATTCACCGTGTCACTGAGTCTCTCGCAGCTGAATCTCCGCATGCTGCCCGCCTTTCTTTCGTCCGCATTGAACATCGTGTGATCCGCCACGTAGTCCGGTGCGTTGCTGGCGAAGAGTCGCGGGAATACCAGGTGCCTTTCGTACCTGTAGACATCCTCGTAGGTGTTGCCGTAGATAAAGCAGCCGTGCATGCTGCTATTCGCATGCAGATCGATCACAAAGTCAATCTGATAGGTCTGAAACGGAGATACACCTATATAATGCTTATTAAAGCAGATTTCAACATTCTTCCTACATCTGAATTATCCAACTCCTTCAGCATGCCCTTCACCGCGTGCAATTCTGGCTGCGTGAACTCGGATCCTATGTGCCAGTTGCGATTCATGTCCTGCCCCATCAGATTGCAGCGATTGTTGCCCAGAAAGACGCCATCCGGATTCACCATGGGCACGATTTTGAAGACAAAGTTATCCCGCAAAACGGCGGCGATGGGATGATTCCCAACGAGAAACTCGATGAGACCCTGGCACACATGGGAAGCTGGAGCCTCGCTGGAATGCGTTCTGCAGAGCACTACAATCACCCGGATAAAGCTGCGATCCAGGCGATTGGTTGAGCGCTGTTTGGCTGTCACGTGGTCGATGGTCAGCAGGTCCACATTGCGATTTTGCTGAATAAGAAACTCTTAGATAGAGTGTTAAACAGGACGTTCATATGACTCACCAACGACTTGATAAGCACACATCGGGTGAACCGCTTGTCCGATCCTTGCCTGGCATCAATCACATTCAAATAGGACTGCAAACGCGAATAGCTATAAGGCCAGGCCAAGGCGAACTGGTAGACATCCTCCTCCTTGTCGAAGATAAAGGCGAAGCTCAGGACATAGTGACCCTGGTGCATGGCCGATCGGTAAAAGAACACCTGCCTCTTGGACAGCCTCTGCCACTTGGGTCGACTCGAGCTCTTCACCAAGGGCGTCAGTCCCGAGGAGAACAGATTCCTGCTCTTGCTGATGTTCACAACGTGGAAGAGCACTCGCTGATCCTGCTTCACGTTGTCCACGGTGAAGTTAAACCAGAAGCGAAATCGCGGATTACATGTATCCGGTCTTAGGAACAAATCGTACTCGAATTCCCCCACCAGCTCCGCTTTTCCCAGGTTTCCCGTTTCGAAGGCCGCATCAAAGCAGAGGTGACCTCGCTTGGCCTTGCCACTTTGACCCGGCGGACGAATGATAACCCGGGAAACGTTGCCCAGACCGCCTTCTCCATCGCTGTCTTCGCTATCTGTAAAAGAATATCCATTAGATGTCTAAGAGCTTTATGAATTGTGCTCAGCAGATGTTGGGCCTTATGTCATGATCCTAAATTAGAAACTGGTTGATAAGAACCAAAACTTATAGTATGTGCTTCTAGTGTGCCAAATATTCTTCTAATCTGCTAAAGATGCGTGTGCCATATCAATTTTAGTACCATCTGATCCGCGCTCGTACATGCTCGTATGCTGAAGTGGATCGCAGGCTATTCCCAACATGATGACTCTGTTCCGCGGATGCGTCTTTCTCTGGCGAAAATCTAGGTTCTTCTAATGCAACCAAGCCGAGCCGAGTGGAGTGAAGTGAAGTGAAGTGAAGTGACCCTAATCCCTCGAGGCTTTGGCCTCTGCCCGGCCTGTCATAACTTTCTTGGCCCAAGGCGCCGCCTGCTTCTCCTAATGCCCCCGGCTGCTATCTTTGAATCAAGGCATCCTCATCCCG